TGGTTGTCAGCGTGACACCGTTGATGGAGCACCCACTCACTCACCCCCACCCAAACCTACCCACTCACTCACTCACTCACTCACTCACTCACTCCACATGCCCTGACAAAGTAAAGACATGATCCCTAACTTTGTTTTTAGCATAAGTGCAATAAACTTGAACGCGTACAATAATCTTGACGTGAAACACCATTTCACCTCACCTCACCTCACCTCACCTCACCTCACCTCACCTCCAACTACCGAGTTATTTGCTGATCAAGTAACTTCGTGTTAAATGTTTGAAGTTGTACAATACAGTGAACTACGTTTATAACGAACAAGCTTATAACGAACTGACGGATATAACGAACTTTGTTTTGTCTCGTCCCGTATGTATGCTGTAAATGTGCTTATAACGAACTGACGGATATAACGAACTTTGTTTTGTCCCGTCCCGTATATATGCTGTAAATGTGCTTTTAACGAACTGACGGATATAACGAACTTTGTTTTGTCCCGTCCCGTATATATGCTGTAAATGTGCTTATAACGAACTGACGGATATAACGAACTTTGTTTTGTCCCGTCCCGTATATATGCTGTAAATGTGCTTATAACGAACTGACGGATATTACGAACTTTGTTTTGTCCCGTCCCGTATATATGCTGTAAATGTGCTTTTAACGAACTACGGTTATAACGGACTAACCTAAGTGATACCTTTGAGTCAGCAAACATCACGGCGGTGAACATTAAGAAATAGCTTCAAACATTATACCAACGATTAAAGCGTGGGGAGCAATGGTTGAACCCAACGACTAGCCTCTGCCCTAGCCGTGAGACCCTAGCGTCTGAACATTGCTCAAGGATGTATTACCATGTCCTTCAACACGTAGGCACTAGCAGACAATTCTTGTCGACAACCCTCCATCACATCGACGGGTGTAGGATTAAAACACCAATCAATGTCCCCTTACAACGCCCTTGCATAAACCATTTCTAATATGATCGGTCTCTGTTCAAGAATGTTCAGACACCAACCGAGGCATTTGACGGTCTTTTTCATCACAGACAGCGACGTGGAAGCCGTCTTTGTTACAGGCAATTACATACATAACAACAGGATATCATGGTTCGGGGCACCTTACGGAAACCTTTGATAATAATTGCATCATTTGATGTTTATCGGGCCTGTCGGGACAACTGATCTTTAAAGCTTGTGATGTCTCTGTTCATATTTCCGTCACAAGATCCTTCATCCAGGAAGAGCTATCTGCCGTGCAGTTAAGTACATACGTGACGGTGTGTTAACAGTGAAGATTATAGAGGGGCAACAGACATTATTATTACCCCGAAGGTCGTGACTGCTGATGTTGAAAGTCAACATGTTCCTTGCTTTTTTGGACATTGTCAATTGACACAACGCATCTGTCGAACTCATGTTGGCGTTTTGCAAACATTCATTGTGCAATGCATGAAAATTCGTGCGTTCCTTTACTTCATGACATGACCTGACTTGAGACCAAATATTTCCTCGATCACTTGATGTTTTTGTCGTAATTGTCGATACAATATCTCATATCTAAAATGAGTGAGTTTGCTACTTCTGTTGTTTCATGCGTGGACCTTGAAATTGCAAGCATTCACAATATCAAACAGTAAATCTAAAAGACCAATTTTCCCCGTGTGAGCAGGCATCTCATCTTAAACTACTTGAAATAAATTGGTCTGTGTCATAAGTTTTAGACATGTATCTGAAGAACTAATTATTTCTTTCAAACATTTTGTGATGCTTTCTTCAACAGAGATAACAGAAAGCTCTGCCCAGTAGGTTAGAGAACCGTGAAATGATTGACCCCTGTGTGACATCATACAGTTTGTGTCGCTACTATCTCTTGTACCACAAGATTTACCACAGGATGTAGGATGGTAAAACTATGCCTGAAAATCCTACAGACAACCTCTCATAATTTTGCTGCAACCGTTTATGTTCAAATCCAGTTTGGTTTACAGGTTGTAAACCTGTGACTGTAGATTATTATTCGCTGAAATGTGGCTTAAGACTAATATGCAGTGGGGTCGGGGATATTCTCTTAATATGTTGCAACCACTTCGACTTTGATGTCCTTAACCTTTGAGGTTTTAATGCACTCATTTGATGCATTCACGCAGTTTCACCTTTCTGTCCGAAACGGTTTTTTTTCTGAAATATATATTTTTAAACATTTTTAACAAAATAAATAAGAATAATCCAATGATTGAAACAAAATATCAAGTCATTATTAGACGGAATTTGCATGCCTCATTTCAGCAGTTTCATATGCAAATATGTGGGCAAAGCAGAAAAAGCCAATTAAAAACAAATTGAACGGGATGGTAGCAAAGGTCTCATCAATGTCAAAATTCAAAATGTAGCAAGATCCAGAGCATACAAGCAGGCCCCATTAATAACATATATCCAATATTAAACTGCGTTCGCCGTTTTGAAAATCGGATTTGAACTTCTTGAACAAAATCTCGTGTCATCATGTGAAGTTTCAGCATAAATTGGTCCAGTGGTATCGGAGGAAAGGAGGTTTATAGACGTCGAAGCATGCCGGACACAAATGTCATGACATTAAGCTCACTTGACCATTAGCCAGGTTAGGTGAAAATATAACACTAGCAATATGCAGCAAAGACTGAATGGTTACACTGCCTGGATCTTCCACATCTCCAAGACATTCCACATTCACATGTCTTAGTGTCTGTACACTGGCACTAATCCCTGTCCTAAGTGCCGCATATTTAAGACTTGTTTCAGACGACGTCGTCTAAAGCGTGCGTCGGATGTCGATGACGCGTGTCAGACAAGCGGCAAGTGTCCATCACTAATCTGGCAAATAATGGGGTCGGGTCTATAGGTGACCTAGTTCTACATTGAAAGAGACGTCGTAAGTTGAGCTTCATTAGCTAGTTCTTTTTTTTAATATATTGAAACCGTCTCTCCGTTGGGCTTGCGCTGGGCATTGATAGATGTAGTCTTTCTCAATGTTGATAGATGGACGCTCGTCGACAATGTAGTATCTTGGCGCAAAGAGTGGAATGGGATTTCTTTTTGACGTAGTCATCACTAGATATCATGAGACCCCACAGAAAATGCAGAGCATGCGTAGATTCCATCCAATCAAACCTCGTCACCCTGTTCGATAAGCCTTGGCTTGGTGCAGCAAAGTACACAAGCTGTTTCAGTTGCGGTGGAAACCTACAGTGTTATATTGTGAGATATTTAGGGCACAAGCGCCGACGGTTGTGAGGTGACACTATCAAGGGAGGCCTTTAAAGAGTTGTTTGATCAAGGTCTCAACATTCAAGGTATCAGTAGAGCTTTCACAAAGTGTTATGGTAGACATGGAGGGCATTTCTAAATTTGACGCATCTTTGACATAAATGATGTTCGATGCAATCCCTTGCTTTGACTTGTACCATATGTTCCCGTGTTTTTTCAGGTGAACAATTAACCTGCCTTTGCATGTGTTTGTGATGGGTGCCATATCAAACATACAACGTCAAACACAATCCCATTTTGCATTTCTTTTCAGACAAAATGATCTATGTAAATTCCACTTTACCAAATACACTTAAACAGACATATGCTTCGTGGTATGGTGCTCTTCCCAGTATATCTCTAGACTTTGTAATTAGTGTTACGAATGAAACGGTTATATTTAATCCGTGTTATTGGAGTAAGTCTGCAAATTGACACCAGCCTTGTCCTCCTTTAAAATTTACCATAAAATCCATAATTAATCCTCATTTATTTCGCCAATTTGAATATTAACCCTAAAAGTACTGAGTGTTAAAGTGGTTTATGCAGAGTCTGTGAGAGGCTATGATGTACGTATCCCACTGACCCAGACTTGGATGTGTTTGGTAATCCACCAGAAGGTTGAGGATTGACTTCCAATCACCAGTCTCATTAGATTGCCATATAACAAAGCTGAGAGGCTGAGTGAGTTGTCGTCTTTTGCGCGTACCCTTCAAGTTGGCCTAAAACTGAGGATTATGCTGGAGAGCCAGTTAGCACTTAACAGTATTTATTGGGTAATGGTTTCAAAGACCTCTGGCCAAGTGGACGAAAAAGGGTGTTTTCTTTTCTGTCCATCCATTGATAAAAGACAGGGGATCAGCTACGTACTAAACCGCCATTCAATATACCATCAGCAACCGATCATTAATGCAATAGGCCCAGTTCCCTGTGTCATACACAGTCATTGATAAGTTCAGATGAGATGTATTGAATTCCCTTCCATTTAAGATATAAAAAGAACGTTCAGTACTCGAAAACATCGGTGCGTGCGTGCGTGCGTGCGTGCGTGCGTGCGTGCGTGCGTGCATGTATGTATGTCGTAATAATACTTGGTTTATGCCGGTTAATTCAGTGAAGAGACGACACAGGCCCAGACTATTTCATATTTTAAGGGATATAATAAGTAGCATAAGTAGCATGCATGTTAGGGTACATTGAGCTCGGGGGGGGGGGTGGGGGCAGATGTTCGGCGGTTCGTTCCTCGGCCGCGTCATAACAAGAGACGTTATAACATGGTACTTCTTGTTGCCGTCTGGCGCTGGGAAACAAGGACGTTAACTGTCATATTACTTTTCAGTGTTAACATGTACGTATGAATGGGTCAATAGACATTTATGTCTGAAAGTTAATGGTCGATGGACATATTTTGTTTAAAGCTGAAATGCTGTCATTGCAAGTGTCTGATGGTTTGCTGATCAGTTGTCCAGCTCTCCCAGTGCAATGTTCTTGAACGCGACGTTAAACCCCATTTTGTCTCACCTCTTCTAAATTACATTAAATCTTATTTGTCAATATTAACATTTTCGTATGAATCTGTCAAATAAAAACATATTTCTCATAGATGGATGAACATATTTTGTCAATAGATGCACTTCTGTGAATGCAAGTGTCTGATAGTTTGTTGATGTCTTGTTTAATATTGCTTTATCGATCTTTTGTATACTTTCAGTGACAACCTTACGATGGAGCTCAGAACAGACCAATATGACATCCTAGGGAATGACACCGTTAACACGACGCTGGGTAGCCCACCATGGCAAACAACGTCCTTGTGGGAGACTGGGAACTTCTCCGGCAACACGTCAACTGCTATCGGCATGAACAATACACGCACCCCAAGCATAGCCATCCAAATATTATACCGTGTTCACCTGGTTGCCATTCCAGCCATAGCGATCATCGGTACCATAAGCAATCTCCTGGCGTTCTTCACCTTTATCAGTAAACCTCTCCGCCGAACATCTTGTAGCCTTTACCTGGCTGCAAGATCCCTATCGGACACTGGCTTCTTGCTCTCCCTTCTTGCAACCTGGATCGGGGACGCCACAACTTTCCAGCTCTACCACCGAGATGGAATGTGCCAGATCGTTCTTTTTCTAACCTATTTCTGTGGATTTCTATCTGTGTGGTTGGTTGTTCTTATTACAGTGGAGAACTACATTCGTATATGTCATCCTTTCACGGTGGGTAGGTTCTGCACGGTTCAGAAAGCAAAAGGCTTCATTTTTGGTTTGAGTGTCACCGGTGTTGTCCTGTATCACTTCCCGCTGTGGATTAGCGCCGTCCTGGACTACCCTGGTGGGAAGAGGTACTGCAACTATATACAGAAGTACGTCACCATCACCCGGATGTTCACCTACGGGGACATGTTCTTGACTCTTGTGATACCGTCTATCGCTATTATTCTTCTGATGGTCGGTATTACCTACAGCTTAATCACGTCATTAAAACGACAGAAACGACTCAAACAAAACAGCGAGCGCGTGAAGAGCCAGAGGCCAAACGGCAAGAAGTCCGGTGGTTCGAGCTCATCTCCTCAAGCCAAGGTGACCAAGATGTTGTCCGCAGTTTCTTTTATCTTCCTGGTTTTGAATCTTCCCAGTCACGCTGTGCGACTCCGGGTCGTGATTTTGACTTACGAGGGCGAGCCACAGCAGCCGAACATCGACCAGATGCTTCAAGTTATTTTCCAAATCCTTTACTATCTCAGCTTCGCTGTCAACTTGGGAGTATACTTAGCCTGTGGGGACAATTTCAGGAAGGTATTTTTAGACAAGTATGTGTCTTGTGTGCTTCGCTCCAAGTACATGCGGAGGAAGAGTGAAGTGTCGCACACGTCCTTCACGAACATTCGATTGGAGGCAACCGAGCCAATGAAAGAAGAGGAGACGTCACTGATCACGTGACTCGGGTGCATCTAGGTCAGATATACCTAGATATGAAAATGGCGTCCATTTACATTCTGCTTAGTTCCTGTGGTTTTTTTCTAAAAGAGGATCATTTTCTACCAAATGTAGGCAAAGTTTTTATTGATAGTTGTTCATATATTTGCATGTTGGAAAACCTACTGCGACTTACACAATAATAATACCCCGACATAAGTGAAATACGTTCTAACGTGTTTGTACAATGTCTTGTATACATTACCTATGTGATTTGATTTTGTATTCATTGCCTATATGTAAAATACTTTTATATTTAAGGGACACGTTTCTTTATATATGGTTCTCATATTTATATATGTATATATTTATAAAAGGCGCTCTTCGACACCCCTTTTCTATAAATATATGATATTGAGGTATATATATATATATACAAGACGAAAAGAACAGATAAACTTCATGTCATACGAATTCGTTTGTTAATTGACATAATGCTTTTTGTTTCAATTTTAGTACATCAATAATATTTCATTTGTTTTGTTATGACAAGAGACGTGACAAAATACCAGTGGTGTTACATGCATCCTTGATGGACATGCGATTAGGGCTGCCAGCCATTGAAATAGGAAGACTGATGTTATATAGAGGATCATACCTACATGAAGACAATGTCCATTGATTTTGTTTTGTTCAGCATGATGCATAACACGCATACATTAAGTACCTGTTACAAGTTGGTTTCCTCAACTGTTGACTTTGCTGCCTGAAGACATGTACAAATATTTCACGCCCATGTGTTATTTGCTGAGTGTTTATTACCTGCCCGATGTCTCTCAAAGAAGCTAACCCCATATATATGCTCCTGGTGATAATATTTCGTCCTCACATAACCAGGAATGGACTTGGGAATTCATCACTGTGGGATATTCATTTTTTGAGAAGGATTTGATGAGGAGGCCCAAAAAGCTCACGTGACCGGAAGCTTTAACTGACCCCTACACGGATCACGTGACTTTGTGGACCTTCATGAAGCCTTTCTCTCACTGGAACACCTACATACTACCCCTGTGTTGCTATCATACGACGATGTAGTACTAATGAACAATTCTTTGCCGAATTTAGATGTATAATTTGTCCATATTTGTTCCTGACGAAGAGTATTTTACCAAAAGTAATCTGAAAAAGATAATTATTATTAATAATTTCCTTGTACAGTCAAACACTTGTGTGTAGAAGTTGATTGGAAATGCGTAAATACTTCGAGTTATCCAGGGTTTGACACATCCAAAAATTATTAATAATGAAGGAATACGCAGGTACCAAGCTTTTACTTCGAGACAACCGTAGGTTCGACACATCGAAGTTCGATACAACGGTGTTTGACTGTACTTTACATTTATGTATCATATTTCTGTCAATTTACAAGCGTTTTGAAAATTTGTTATTTGTTAAAATTGTGTTTGTTCTCAGTATACTACCTATTGCAATAAACACTCTCGCTTCATTGTTCGTCGATGTCTCATTAACATTCAAATCATATCTTTATCTACAAATGATATATGTGTCCACTAACATCTGATATATTTCTTTACCATCACACGATATGTTCGTCCAGTAACACATGTAATATATCTCTACCTTCATATGGTGTGTCTTCAAACATCTCCGTTCTTGGAAAAGTGAATCCATGGTATATAATTGGCTAACCAATTTATTGTTTTCATAAACCTACAAAATATAGGAAACAATTATCTGAACACGATGATAGTGCATCCTTAATAAGTCTTCTCCCGGGTAAGTGAGTGAGTTGGGTTTAACGCTGATTTTAACAGCATTCCGGTTATATCACGGCGTGTCAACTTAAAGCGGGAGGAAATCCGGAAGTGATGCAGGTCTCAGTACAACTTCCGGCCTGGGTGTCCAGCGATACGCCCAATTTTATTCCACTTCACCGTCAGCACGCCTAGTTCGGTGTAGCCAGCATCTGAGGTTCAAAAGACAAGACTGTGACATTATACGATTCATATGGTCCAGGTTTCATCTGGACAGCTCTGATGGCCGTACAAGGGTCTACAGGCGCCCAGGAGACGCTAGTATTACTCAACGACGTCTGTTTGGGGGTGAAGGTGTTATGCTGTGTGGTGTCATCACAACTCATGGGAGAACGCATCTCATCTTTATACCCTCGTTTACGAAGTAAATCGGGGGTATATGGCGTTCCGTCCGTCCGTCCGTCCGTCCGTCCTTCCGTCCGAGCTTTTGTACGGCCCATAACTTTTTAACCATGCACCCTAGCTTCACCAAACTTGCTACACACATTAACCACAATGAGTACTTGTGCCTTTTGCTAGTTTGAAGATTCTGAATATATTTAATTTTTGCCGTTTCCATGGGCACATTAAGATACTTAAAATTTTAGAGTGGGTGTTTTGTACGGCCCATATCTTTTTAACTATGCACCCTAGCTTCACCAAACTTTCTACACACATTTACCACAATGAGTACTTGTGCCTTTTGCTAGTTTGAAGATTCTGAAATTTTTTATTTTTGCCGTTTCCATGGAATCATGGTGAAACATAAATTTTGGGTAGAGTTTTTGTACGATCCATGTTTACAATATTATGTATCCTAGCTTCAGCAAACTTGCTACATTAACCACTATGATTGTTTTTTATCTTTTATAAGATTCTGAAAGTTTTCTCTTTTGCTGTTTTCATGGAAACATGATGGAATTTAGAAATTTTGATGACTGGTTTTGTATAGCTAATATATTGTCCAAGATTGTTTCCACACATGTAGATCATCATAAGTATATGTGCTTTGTGTTAGTTTGAATTTATGAATTCTTTACCATATCTGTTAAGGCTAGATGGAAATTATTAATTTATTGATTTTCTTATATGATATTGTTCCATTTTTTATGTGTTTATATGTCAACAATTTTTTGTCCTTTTGATAATTCTTCTTATGTAACTCCTCAATCAAATTTTTATTCAAATGTGTTCATGGTGATCTACTTCCTCGTAGTGAACACTGGTAACATGGGAGATGTGTGTGTGTGTGGGGGGGGGGGGGGGGGGGGGGGTCAATTGTCACTGGAACTCAATCTTAGTTTTTAAAACATTGAAGTTAAAATCAGTTAGAAATATGTCATATTTCATTCATTAACAAACTATTAACTATTTGTTGTTGACCAGCGGGGATAACGTGGGTATGTGAGCTTTGCTCACTTCTTTCTTGTTGTTATTGGCAATTCGAATGACGTACGCTTCTGGGACGACACCGTTCGAGATAAATTTCTTCCCTTTGGGCAAATACAGGGACGTAGCGTCACGTTGCAGAACAATAATGGCCCCGCCAACTTGTTTCAAACTGATTGCGGTATAAAAACATTTATGTACTGCATATCAACGCAAATGGTGCTTGTTTGTTGTTTAATGCCGCACTCAGCAATATTCAAGCCATATCACGGTGGTCTGTAAAATAATCCAGCCTGGACCAAACAATCCAGTGATTGACATCATGAGCATCGATCCACGCAATTGGGATCGATGACATGTATCAACCAAGTCAGCTAGCCTGACCACCCGATCCCGTTAGTAGTCTTTTACGACAAGCATAGTCGCCTTTTACGGCAAGTATGGATTGCTGAAGACCTATTCTACCCCGGATCTTCACGGGCCTCAGAAATATAAATTGTCAATGCAAGAGACTAATCAGCCTAGCTGTTCTGCCGATACAGATTCCGCTAGGCGTAAAGGGCAAATAGCTGTGGAAATTATATAAATTGACCACTAAAAATCAGGTGTTCGCGAAAAGAGTAAGCAAGTCCTGCCATACAGAACCACCTTCGAGGTCAGGTCTATGGGTCAGGCGGCCTGTCGGAAAGTGATGTCAAACTCGTAGAGTGTGACCTAACCAGCAACTGAGTACTGTTTTGTTCAGAAGATCCAGTGTATGCCGAGTTTGCCACAAACGTTTTCCTGCCAACTGCTGGAGGCCGACAGATTTGACCGTAACAGTATAATATGTTCCCGTGAATGCGACACATAATTGTATTTTCCAAACATCGTTCACTGAAAATTGCTGGATAGTCTTACATACACTGTATAGTGGTACGTAAAATAATTGCCTGGCATCTCCTTTGAAGGAATAAAAGCGTATCGTTTAAAGGACTGATTGACTGATTAACACACCGTGATGTAACTGAAATACTATTGCAATTTACCAGTTTTAGCAGTGTTAGCCTTCGGGGTAATAATACTGTCTTTTGCCTCTCCATAATGTTCGCAGTTAACAAACCACAGACACAGGCCCTAGAGGTTATTTGTCCGGTTCGATAAACATCAACTGATGGACAATACATAAAATGTATCTGAAAGGTGCCCCGGACTACAATATCCTGTTGTGATATATGTTATAGTCAGTAACAGTAACAGAGAGGGACGGTCGGGTAGCCTAGTGGCTAAACCGTTCGCTCGTCATGCCGAAGACCCGGGTTCGATTCCCGACATGGGTACAATGTGTGAAGCCCATTTCTGGTGTCCCCCGCCGTGATATTGCTGGAATATTGCTAAAAGCGGCTTAAAACCATATTCACTCACTCAATAACAGAGACGGTTTCCAGTTCGTTGTTTTTACGAAACTGATCATATGAGAGATCGGGTGTGGTAGGTGAGTGATTGCGGTAACATTGATTCGTGAACTAAACATACACCAGTCTACGTGAAGGGGGGGTTGAGAAACCAATTATCTGAACAAGATGATAGTACATCCTTAATAAGTCTTCTCCTGCGTAAGTGAGTGAGTTGGGTTTTTACGCTGCTTTTAACAGTATTTCAGCTATATCACGGCGTGTCAGCTTAATGTGGGAGGAAAGCCTGAAGTGATGCAGGTCTCAGACGTTTACCACTTCGATGAAAAGCACGGGTATGGTGCTGACAAACCTAGAAACATAATTGGGGCGAATCGGGATTCGAACTCATAATCATAGGTTTCTGGTGTGTCCAAGGGACGCAAATTTGCACAGCGAATCGCGGCCAGTTGTCTTCGTATCCCAATTGCGTGGATGGATGCTCATGATGTCAATCACTGGATTGTATTGTCCAGACTCGATTATTTACAGACCGCCGTCATATACATGTAGCTGGAATATTGCTGAATTAAACGACAAACAAACAAACAAATCATAATCTGAAGGGCAAAAAGGTATACCGACTCTTTTATCTTATTAAAAATTGAATGAACTGTTGTAAAATTTAATTGTGTCTATTTACTTATCACTCATTCCCGCAACAGTTTGTGAAAAGCAATCTGTGGCTATACAAAAATAAATTGGCCTCCCCAAATCTCTGTCTGTGTTATAAAGTTAACCGTTATTACCAACACTGAACACGGCCTTATTCCTGGGGCAGTTTCACCAAGAAGCACTGTGTGCCATGTCAGCACACACTGGTAGTAGTGGTGGTGTTGGTGCCCCGGAGTACCTTGCCAAAGGGCTCAGTCACACATTCAGGATTTTTACTGCCTTCCTTGATAGGGCAATTCCCGATTAAAATTTGTCGAAAGTCTGATCAAGATCCTGTGATTCACAAATAATCAGATAGTGTTCAGGAAGCGTCCCGATTCAGCCTTTTCCAGCTGAATTCGTCCCGATTCTCCCGTTCTCACTCAGAATCTGATCCGATTTGTATCTTCCGCATTGTAAAAAACGAACGAATCTGTCCCGACAGCATCCCGATTCCCTCGAATGCGATCCGACAGAGATCCGACAGTGACCGGACAGTGAAGCATTCGGCAAGATCTTGACGCAATCTGGACTCAATCGACAAGAAACGGCAATGACGAATTCATGCCCATTCATCACGACAGAGTCCCGATCCACGGGACACCGTCCAGGCACCACAGGACATTGTTACGATTTTGATCCGATACAGCAGAATCTGTCACGACATAGTCACGATTGTAATCCGACAAGACAAAATCGGCTGAGTTTCCCGAATGTTACGGGACGCACCATACTGTCGGGAGTGCTTGGCCGACCTCTCTGGATCTTTCCCGATCCGTAGGACTCTATTACGAACGTATACGACTGCGTTCAGACAATGATAAGACATTCCAGATCATTCAGGACAGTAATCCGACTTTTTCACTTTTCGTGTCGTAGCGCTGTCTGATTTCAAACGGGGGCCATAACCGGCACTGTGTGAACCTTGCCTAACCCAAGCTTGTCTAAGACAGAGCCCACCTCACTTCGTGTTGTTGTTTTATGTGTATGGGAGGCCGCATTCTGCCTCAGCAATTCCGGTTGATCTGTCCTTCTTTGGAACTCATGTGTGTGAATTTGGTACACATACTATCTATTGGGATTTTAGAATTGACCGAGATTATTGACGTACCCTGATGGTATGCACTTTATTTCGTGTGTTTAGACACTAAACGTGTTTAGACACCAAATGTGTATTCCGTTTAGGATTTAAACACGATTGATGAGCGGTACTCCTATACCCCGTGTCAGTGAACCGTGTCTGAGCCCTTCCTAGTCCCGGGAACGCCACGGGGAGTTTTCCTCCTAGATATAAATTTGTCGCTCCCGGGCCGACACCAGGCTGACTGACAGTAAAGTACACTACACTGATGATGAGGAATAACATTTGGGATTAACGTCTTATAAGTAAAGGCAATTACGTGTTTCAATGAAAAAAAAACTTTTATAATGTACTTTGATAACGAAGTTTCAGGACTACGTCTTGTCCTTCCATTCATTCATGTTCTTCCAACTTCCAAATGCCAATCAAAGACATAAGTGATTCTAGACATTGGTCAACATGGTAATTTGCCTGGGTAAACAGTATATGAGGTATGCTCCAGAAACGATCGTCCCTACCCTGGAAATGCAATATGAAAGAATCCCTGAAAACTCCCTTAATAGCCAAAGGTGTCAGTCCAGTGCATGTCTAATGTGTATAAAGTTTAATGAAGAAATATTGAATGGTGTATAGGGTAAATACCTAAAAAAAGTCATGGGCGTACATTGTCCGTTTCTATAGCACCTAGATAAATCAGTTTGGGCAGCGGATTATTAAACACTCTCCAGACTTGGAGAAATGTTTACTTCTTTCTGTAATCTTGATTTCAGGGCCAAAACTCGGGCAATCTTGACTTGC